ACCTCCATTTCTTCCAACTCAATTTGTAAACCTTACTTTGGATAGCTCTAAATCTGCCTCAGGTTGAACCTTTTTCGGTTTTCTACGCCCCAGAAAGTGCAAATTTCAAGCTTAATTTTTTGAAATTTCGAGAAATCACTTTTCCAGTTCAAATTTAAATCAAAAGCTCCATTTCTTCAACTCAACTTTCAAGCTCGACATTGGATAGTACAAAATTGGACCCAGGCGGATCCTTATGCGTTCTTCCATGCCTGCGGTTTGAAGATCAACTCCATTTCTTCAAATCAACATCCAAATCCGACGTTTGATAAGTAGAAAGTTTGTCTCAAATTGAGACTTTTTCGGTTTTCACAAGCACGACGGTGGATAGTACAAAATTTGCCCCATGCGGAGTTTTTTTCGTTCCTTCATGCCTCCAAAAATGCAGATTTCAAGCTTGATTTTTTTGAAATTTCAAAAAATCAAGCTTCCAGTTGATATTCGACCAAAAAACCTCCATTTCTTCCAACTCAATTTGTAAGCCTCACTTTAAGCAGTTCTAAATTTGCCTCAGGTTAAGCCTTTTTCAGTTTTCTACGCCCTAGAAAGTGCAAATGTCAAGCTGAATTTTTTGATATTTCAAGAAATCACCCTTCCAGTTCAAATTCAACTGAAAAGCTCCATTTCTTCAACTCAACTTTCAAGCTCGACATTGGATAGTACAAAATTGGACCCGAGCGGATCCTTATGCGTTCTTCCATGCCTCCCGTTTGAAGATCAACTCCAATTCTTCAAATCAACATCCAAACCCGACGTTTGATAAGAAGAAAATTTGTCTCAGACGGGGACTTTTTCGATCTTCTACGTGTCGGAGAGTAATTTTTTGAAATTGCAAGTACCACACCTCAGTTTCGATGGAATTTCAATGCTTGAACCGAAAAGGATGTGTTAAAAATGGATCTCTTCAACATGACGGCACATACAAATATTCGCGCAATTATGCAATACATGGAAAATACCAATTCTCGTTTACATGTGAATAGGTGAGCTATTTGTATAAGTGAGGCGCCAGGCTTTTTAGCGCGGTACATTAACACTAAGTAAGAAGTAATTATTTACATCGCGTTTAACACATTCCGTCGACGTAAGTACAAGACGTAAATGTCGTGATTGGAAAAGGAGGTCGTTACGTTCCTTTGGTGTTGTCAAGTTTCCAAAAAAATTATCCAAAAGGAACAGGATCGCCAAAGAGTTTGGCTCAATTTCTCTTCGGACAGGTGCGCCGAATTTATCCTTGAGTCCTTACCAAAAGCGAACGGCGTGTGCTAATAATCGCATAACTCGCGCCCGCAATAAATCCGAAACTATTTGGCAGGGCACCCCATCGACGTTTTGTTCGCGGCGCAATTCGAGACTAATGAGCAATTAAAGAATTTTTATGAGTAGGCGTCGAGGAATTTTAATGAAGTTCGCTTTTTCAAAATAAACAACGCGCAGCGGCGGGACCGCGAGACGCTTCATCTGGAAGAGTCATCACGAGAGCGCGGACAAATAAACGAATTTGAAAAACGGCCAACTTTGATTGGGTGATAAATCGATAGTTTGGGATGTTTATTTTTGAAAGTCCCGAGGGACCTCCGCGTTTCCGACGACGTCGTAAACTTCACGGAATTACGACAACATGCGGTTGCAATACACACTCCACATGTACATCCGCGAGTACTTAAAAATAGGTCTTACCTTACCGCCAAGTGGTCGTAGGTGGCTTGGGAAAATTTAAGGCACTCACCTGAAACAATTAAAAGTTATTAGTAATTGGTCGAGAAAATACGGAAGAGCGCGGTCGGAATTAACGATCCGAGTGAAATTGAGAATTATAACCCTTAATAACGAGGGTTAGGCAATTAAGTTTATTGCGCCTACAACAGATTAAGTTTAAACCTAACCAAAAACACCACCAGGTCGTATTTATTGCGATAATTTGCGTAAATAATTATGTTTACGGGAGATCTAGACGAAAATCGCACCTGAACTATACAGATAATAAAAAAATTAACTCCACTGAGAATTAGACAAAGTGGGAATAAATGCAGCAGCTTCCAAGATGAAAAATGGGAAGCCATTCTGCTAAAAAGGCTTCAAAAATTATTAAAGCAGTATTTCGGTAAAAAAAATTCCAAAAAAAAAACGGTTTTCCTAGGAAGACTCCCGGGAATATTGTTACAAGGCTGCGGAAAGTATTTTCAAAACAGTTTCTTAAAAGATTGCTACAGTTTACAAATTTAGAACTGTTCAAAGTCGGGGCTTGGAAGAAATGGGGGTTTTTAGGCCGAATTTCAACTGGATGTGTGATTTTTTGAAATTTCAAAAAATTAAACACGAAATCTGCATTCTTGAAGGCATGAAGGAACGAAAAAAAGCTCCACCAGAGGTAAATTTTCTACTTATCAAACGTCGGGTTTGGATGTGAATTTGAAGAAACGGCGTTGATCTTGAAATTTGAAGTCTTGGAGGCATGAAAGAACGAAAAAAATCCGCCTTGGGGGGGGGGGCCGTATACGAAAGTGTTATGGTATCCTTTAGTGCCCTCTAGAACCCAAATTTTTTTAAAGTGTCTTCAGCGGCGAAGGGTTTGAGAATGAACGTAGCACCGGGGGTGCATATGAAGGTCTTAAGTTAGTTGTATAGTTGTAAGGAAATAAACGCAAGGGGGTCTGGGGGGTATGGAATACTTCCCGAGAAAAGGAAAGGGCCAAAGTTCATTTCCCTACAACTGACATAAGACCTTCGTCTATAGCGAATACCCCCCAGGTTTACATTCCCACACAAATCGTTTCGTGTCCTTAGCACTAAAGAAGAACTAAAAAGAATGTTCCGCAATATGTAGCCTATCTCGAAGATGTGCCAAACGGCCATCAAATTTCGCTGTCTCAAGCCCCCCCCCCCCCCAATTATTTCCTGAGATGCTCTTTTTGAATGTAAAACGTGCATAACTTTTACAGGAGACAACCAACTGGTCTCAGAAAATGCATACACATGCCTTTAGTGGTGGCAAGTAAAATTTTGAAAATAGAGGGGAGGGGGGTGTGACCACACGTTCTACCCTTCATGGTATTCTAATGAAAGGCCTCGCCGAAATCAATTGGTTTGTATAAACTACAACTTTGCGCGACTCCTTTCCGACATCCGTAGGTGGGAGTGGAGAGGAGGGAGGAGGGAGAAATTAATCTTATCTTTCATGGTATTCCAACTAAACGTCTCAAAAAAAGGAAGAGGGGGGAGACTGGTACCTTCATGGTACTCTAATGAAAGGTCTCCTGGGAGGTATAGAATACTCCCAAGGAAAAAGAAAGGTTCAAAGTTCATCGTATATCATATAACTTTTGATTGAGAAGTCTAATCGAAAAAGTACGAATTGTTTTGGATTCTACGCACCAAAACTTATAAGAAAAAGTGGTTTCCCGAGAAATTTTGGTGTGGTCGAATTTTGGTAAAAAAGGAAGGTTATAAACCGCCTTTTTTTGAGGCCCGAAAAAAAATTGTCTCAGATCGACCCGGAAAAATAATATTCTTATAGAATGTGGCCTGTAGAATCCATAATTTCAAACAGTTCCAAGATTGGGCTACTAGATCAACAGTTACAGCCCTTTGAATTTTCTTTCGAAATTGGTCTCTAGTCCATAACTTTGGATTAAGAAGTCTAATCGAAAAAGTACGAATTGTTTTGGATTCTACGCACCAAAATTTATAAGAAAAAGTGTTTTCCCGAGAAATTTTGGTGTAGTCGAATTTTGGTAAAAAAGGAAGGTTATACACCGCCTTTTTTTGAGGCCAGAAAAAAAAATTGTCTCAGATCGACCCGGAAAAAAATTTTCTTATAGAATGTGGCCTGTAGAATCCATAATTTCAAACAGTTCCAAGATTGGGCTACTAGTTCAAAAGTTACAGCCCCTTGAATTTTTTTTCGAAATTGGTTTCTAGTCTATAACTTTTGATTGAGAAGTCTAATCGAAAAAGTACGAATTGTTTTGGATTCTACGCCCCAAAATTAATAAGAAAAACTGTTTTCCCGAGAAATTTTGGTGTAGTCGATTTTTGGTAAAAAAGGAAGGTTATTGTTGAGAAATGACACATTTTCTTTTGTACACAGTATTTTTATTTTCTGTATTTGAGATCCAGTTTTGTTATCATATTTCGTTCACGGTCAAGTTGGATAGAAAATTGTAACAACAGTTGTTGACGTAGAGTGTGTGCGATTCAGCTTTCAATTTTATTTTCGTTTTGTTTGTTTTTGTTAATAAATTCCGCCGTAATTCATGTTAGTTTTTTGTCACTCACCTTTATTACAGTCCATTAAGCTTCCCTGACATTTTTTGGTCCAATTCGACCACGGATAAGTGCCGAAATTCGTCATTTTTCAATGTTATAACATGCGCTAATGTGTTATTTTCGATCGCGCGCTATCACGGTGAACAATAAAAACTTGTACATCGATCCCTTGCAGTGAATTTTTGGATTGATTTTTCATGTGGGCAGCGTAACGTTTGTTAAAGTGGTTTTCGCGGCATTTATTAACATTATAAAACAAAGTTCGACAATGAAAAATTAATTATAATAATTTTTCCTTTACTCACTAAAAACTCGTGTGTTGTAAATGTTCTGCTGATTGAAAACGCAAGCTTTTCTTCAGTGATTGCGCGCATTTTTGAGTGACTTTAAATACAAACACTGAAATAGTGTGTGCATCGATTTTTCCAAGTTTCGTCGAGTTCCAGATCGAACCTGCAGCAACAACGAACGATTCCCAGTGAGCAAGAGGACTTTCACGAAGGTTTCGAACTAATTAATCAACGTCTTCACTTACACTCATTTTACCAGCAAACTGTGAGTTCTTTCCAACTATTTATTTCTGCGGATGCAAACGGCATCTCGTATTTCAACTCAGGACTTTACTAAAATAAATAGTTTTGAGCAATAAAATCAATCTTCAGCATTTTAAATTCGCATTTATTGTTTGTAAATTTGCTTTTTGGTCAATTTTTTACAACCGTTAAAATGGCCGAGCTGAGTGCCATCATTGAACGTCAAAACGAACTTTTCGGGTTCATATCTCGCACGGTTGAAAATCTAAACAAGTTAGGCAAAGATAACATTACGCTAGGCGCAATCAAGGGAAGAATTAAGAAGATTAACCAGCAATGGGAAGAATATCAAGACAATCATAAGAAATTGCTAACTCTTGAGGTGAAACGCGAAGAGTTCCCCTATTTTAGGCAAAATCTAATGAAGGCAGTGGATGAATCCTATGCCAAACAGATAGGTGTGTTACTTGATTTAGAAATCGCGGCTACTCCTATGCAAGCACCTTCCCAAGCACCCCATTTTCCACCCGAATTGGTTGAACTTCTTCAAGCCTTACGTGCGCAACCACACACCCAACCTCCTGTACAGCCTGTTGTGCAACTTCAGAGTCAATTGCCTCGCATAAATTTGCCAAAATTTGACGGCAATTACACCCATTGGCCACAATTTCGAGATCTTTTCACGTCTCTTGTTGGGTCAAAACCTAACCTACCACCGGTAGAAAAATTCCATAATCTAAAAACCAGTTTAGAAAAGGAAGCCCTTCAATTGATCAATAATTTAGCAATAACAGACGACAACTATCAAATAGCTTGGGATAAACTGAAAAACAAATATGAAAACAAACGTTTGCTAGTGAACGCACACCTTGCATCCCTCGATGCGATTCCTCCTGCGAAGTCCGAGTCAGCGACTGAACTCAAACGCATTCTCTTGTCAACCATTGAGGCTAAGGATGCTCTCCAAGCCTTGGGCAGGCCTGTCGATAATCACGAAGACTGGCTCGTGCACAAGACCACTAAGCGTCTTGACCCTCAAACACGACGCGATTGGGAGACTGCGAACGGGGCAGCCAATGACCCCATCTCTTTCGGTGAATTGCAAAAATTCCTCGAAACTCGTATAAAGGCACTAGAAGCCATTAACGAGAAAACTCTTACGAACCCAGCAAAACAGGTTCATCAAACTAAAAGCTTTTTTCCCTATAAAAAAGGAAAATCTGACGTGAGCTCACATCACGTTGCAACTACGAAATTACAAAATTCGTCAAGTCCACGTACTTGTTCGCTATGTTCACAAGAGCATTTTATCTGGAAATGTGATCAATACAAAGCACTCCGCCCTTGTGAGAAAAGGCAGACTATAATTTCTAAAAATCTCTGCCTAAACTGCCTAGGCGCTCACAAAGTTCAAGAATGCAAGTCAAGGTTTCACTGTTTTAAATGTTCGGAAAAACACCATACGTCTATGCACGGAGTTAATTCTGGTGGTTCGTCACGCTCTCACTCGCAGACCATGACAGAGAACACAGCACCTGCGCCTGTACTATCAGAGTTGCCCACACAACTTCAGAGTCCTCAATCATCACTCCTGCAAGTTGTAAATCACTCTTCATGTACAACACCCAAACCTTCACTTTTGGCAACAGCTTACATCAGAGTTATTGCAGCGTCCGGCGCAAAAAGCTACACCAGAGCACTCGTTGACTCCTGTTCTACCGACAACTTGGTTTCTGAATCTCTGTCCCAGCGACTGAGATTACCCAGACGTTCAGCCCAATATCCAGTCAGTGGAACTGGCAAAAAAGCAACTTGCATTACACGGGGAGCAGTGTCCTTCGAAGTGAAGCCTCATTTTGATTCTGATTACAAGATTCCAGTCAACGCCTTTGTAGTGAGGGATCTCACTCATTACGTCCCGAACTGTCAAGACGATCAGCTCAATCTGCCGCATTTAAAAGACATACAATTTGCTGATCCAGATCACTCGTCTTCACAACCAATTGAAGTGATTCTTGGAGTTGGATCGTACTCTAGAATCCTCGAAGAAGGCATCCGTAAGGGCCCTGATCATACTCCAATCGCACAGAAAACCGCACTCGGATGGATATTGCTCGGTGAGCTATCCACTGATGTCGATCCATCGCAACCAGCCACTCTCGCAAGTCACCAGTGTCACATTGACAAACATCTCCCAGAGCTCCTTCAAAAATTCTGGGAACAAGAAGAAATTTTAATCAAGTCACAACACTTCAGTGACGAAGAGCAATTTGTTGAGGACCATTTTAAGAGAACACATTCTCGAGGTCCAGATGGCCGATACACGGTATGTTTACCAATTAAGCAACCAGAGATTCAACTTGGTGACTCTCTGACCCCAGCGACACGCATGTTTCAATATATGGAACGACGTTTTTCACGCAACGATGAGTTACAAGAGCATTATTCCAAATTTATGGATGAGTACCTTGAATTAGGTCACATCGAGAAGGTAGACGTTACAAGTGAATCATCCCCACCTTCAAGGTCGTTTTACCTACCTCATCATGGTGTCTTGAAAGCCACTAGCACAACCACCAAATTACGTGTCGTGTTTAATGGCTCCCAAAAGACAGACATGGGGAATTCTCTCAACGCACAGCTCTGCGTTGGCCCCAAACTCTTACCAGAACTTCCTGAAGTTCTGTTAAAGAGTTTGGCGGCCAACGCCAGAGCTGTGCGTTGAGAGAATTCCCCATGTCTGTCTTTTGGGAGCCATTAAACAGTGTCCTTCGAAGTGAAGCCTCATTTTGATTCTGATTACAAGATTCCAGTCAACGCCTTTGTAGTGAGGGATCTCACTCACACTAGCACAACCACCAAATTACGTGTCGTGTTTAATGGCTCCCAAAAGACAGACATGGGGAATTCTCTCAACGCACAGCTCTGCGTTGGCCCCAAACTCTTACCAGAACTTCCTGAAGTTCTGTTAAAATGGCGATCGCACAAAATCGCCATCTCATCGGACATGGAGAAAATGTATAGACAGATTTGGGTCCATGAGAGCGACAGAGACCTCCAACGTCTCTTGTGGTATGATCGAGACACCAAAACAATGGCTACTTATCGTCTTACCACCGTTCCTTTTGGATTGTCATCTTCACCATTCCAAGCAATCCGCACACTTCATCAATTAGCAGACGATGAACAAGAAAATTATCCCGTCGCTGCTAAACTTCTCAAGACTGACGCCTACGTCGATGACATCTTGTCAGGCGCCGACGATTTACCGACTGCCTTTGTGATACAAGAGCAGCTGATCAATCTCCTCAAGGCGGGCGGTTTTGCCTTGAGAAAGTGGACTTCCAACAATAGAAGTCTTGTAGATCGCCTGCCAGCTGACATGGTTGCTCAATCCAACTTAAATTGGCAATCAAGTCCAGTGTATAAAATGCTCGGGTTAACCTGGCAACCCGATGCTGACCATTTCATCTTCAACGTGAAGATGTCAGAGTTGCCTTCCAAAACTACTAAACGCCACGTGCTCTCCATGATCGCACAGCTGTTTGACCCTCTAGGCTGGCTCGCCCCAGCGATCGTGACTGCAAAAATCTTTATGCAATCACTCTGGCAACTAGACTTAGGTTGGGATGAACCCTTGCCAGACTGCAAGTCCAATAAGTGGAAAAATTTCTACTCCCAACTGAATCTACTCGCACAAGTCAAGATACCAAGGTATATCGGACTTTCACCATCTAATCGTCTTTGCGAACTCCATGGGTTTTCCGATGCTTCGGAGCAAGCATACTCGGCTGTCCTCTACATACGAGTGTCAAACAACAATGACTTGTCAACAGTCAGATTACTGGTTTCAAAAACCAAGGTTGCGCCATTGAAAATGATAACCTTGCCCAAGTTGGAACTGAACGCAGCTCTTCTGCTGGCTAAACTTTCATCGGTGGTGCAAACTACACTCAACTTACAGCAGGTACCTCTGCACTTGCACTCTGATTCGACCATAACACTCCATTGGATCAGAGGTCATCCTACTCGATGGAAAACATTCGTGGCAAACCGAGTCTCTCAAATTCAAAGACTCGTACCAGATGGTCACTGGCACCACGTCTCATCAGGGGACAATCCAGCTGACATCGCCACTCGCGAACTGGACATTTCAGACTTCATCCAACGGGATAATTGGTGGAACTGTTCGGCCTTATGTCTCACTGACGTCACACCATGGCCCACATCCACAATCATTCCATCTCCTGATGCTGTCCTAGAAGAGAAAACCATTGTTGTTCATCAAACAATACCTACCATCAAGGAACCATGGGATCTTATTCAAAGATACTCTCAACTTACCAAATTATCTTCGGTAACAGCATGGATTCTACGCTTTGTGACAAACGCTGCTGAGCGTAAGAGCATCAAGTTAAGCTCACGTGGAGCTCACGACATCGTGTCCCATTCAAGGAATGTGTCACCTCTAGAACTTGAAAACGCCAAACAATTTTGGATTCATCAAGTTCAGAAACAATACTTCCAACGAGAGATTGATCGACTTACCCACGATCCTCTCTGCAATATCAAGGGACCTCTCGCACGTCTTACACCATTCATCGACGATCATGGACTTCTACGGGTCGGAGGTCGTCTGAAACACTCGCTTCTCGATGCTGATGAAAAACAACCAGTCATTCTGCCACGAGAGTCGTTTTTCACCACATTGATTATTCGTTATTATCATGAAAAAACTCTTCACGGTGGCATCCAACTAACTCTTTGTCAAATCCGTCGCAAGTACTGGATTTTAAGAGGACGCAGCGCAGTGAAAACTATCATCTTTAAATGCCTTAAGTGTTGGAGACAGCGTAAAGCAACAGCTCAACAGCTGATGGGAAACTTACCTAAAAATCGCGTTACTCCATCAAGAGCTTTTCTCAACACTGGAGTTGACTACGCTGGACCAATCTGGTTAAAAACCACAAAAGGGCGTGGCCATAAAGCAAACAAAGGCTACATCTCAGTCTTCGTGTGTCTCGCCACACGAGCAATCCACCTCGAAGTTGTATCAGATTATACATCCGACGCGTTCATTGCAGCCTACAAAAGATTTACGGCAAGGCGCGGAATATGTGCTACCCTACGTAGCGACTGCGGTACTACACTCGTGGGAGCCGACGCAGAGTTGAGAAAACTTTTCGATTCAGCTCGACAAGAATCGCGACACATTGAGCATCTTCTCGCTCAAGACGGAACCCAGTGGATTTTTAACCCACCTGCCGCTCCACACTTTGGTGGGATTTGGGAGGCAGGCGTGAAGTCTACCAAGCACCATCTAAAGAGAACTATCGGTGAGTCGACCATCACCTTTGAAGAGATGTCGACCTTGCTCGCACAAGTCGAAGCGTGTCTCAACTCACGGCCGCTTCAAGCCCTAACGGACGACCCTGACGACTTGTCAGTTCTAACCCCTGGACACTTCCTCATCGGAGGTCCTCCAGCTACAATTCCGGAGCCCTCTCTTGCTGACATCTCAGTCAATCGACTCTCCCGTTGGCAACTCATACGTCAACAGTACGAGCATTTCTGGCAGAGATGGTCTCACGAATATCTTCATGAATTCCAAACTCGCTCAAAATGGCAAACTCGTGAGCCACAAGTCAAAATTGGAGACTTGGCAGTGCTAAAAAATGAACTGCAACCACCTTCCAAGTGGGTTCTTGCCAGAATCATTGACGTTCATCCCGGTCAAGACGGAGTTGTTCGAGTCGTAACGTACGCACAGCCACTTCGACTTTCAAGCGCCCAATCGTCAAGCTCTGTCTGCTTCCAAGGACAGACGAAAAGGATGACATCGCCTGAAGTTACTTGTGCTTGCTATTATCTCAGTGTATTAGTGTGAAGTTACATTTTTTTTTCAAATTTATTCATCGTGTTAGATGAAGGCGGGCGGAATGTTGAGAAATGACACATGTTCTTTTGTACACAGTATTTTTATTTTCTGTATTTGAGATCCAGTTTTGTTATCATATTTCGTTCACGGTCAAGTTGGATAGAAAATTGTAACAACAGTTGTTGACGTAAAGTGTGTGCGATTCAGCTTTCAATTTTATTTTCGTTTTGTTTGTTTTTGTTAATAAATTCCGCCTAATTCATGTTAGTTTTTTGTCACTCACCTTTATTACAGTCCATTAAGCTTCCCTGACAGATATGTTTATATTTTTGTCGAATATTATTACCTATTACCTTCAACATTTTCGTCATCGTAGATTTCATTTTTCTTTATGTTTTTTTTTCAAAAGCTTTTCCATGGGATTCTTTCTCTATAGGCTGCTTTCAAGAGTTGTCAAAATCTTGTTGATGTTTCTTTTCAATGCACCTTTAAAGCTCCTCGATATTTTTAAAGAACATACCAGATACCTCTACCAATACTGAAGACTCTTCCAAATGTCTCAACAAAGCTCTCTCTAGAGAGGTTGTAATAACCCAGTTGCAGCCAAGAAGCGACTGCGCAACTCGAAATCACGAGCTATTAGCATAATTGTTACTCGAGGATAACGAAGAGGGGGGGGGGGGATAGTGAAAAAATAACACACAATCTTTCTTGGCTTCGGGACCGAGCGAAGGCAGATCTAGGACTGAGTTTCATAGCAAGGCGCCCTTTATTTAATCTATTTATCCACAAGGAGAGCCCGACCAGGCAGCACTTAGGTACACCTAAAGCCTATTGTGCCTACCACCTTTCCTTTGCAACGAGGTTCAGAGGCCGTTCCTCTCAACAAAGGATAGAGCCCTGTTTAGGGGCGATAGTTAAGCATCCACTGCCCCGTGAGGACACCCATGGTTTTCATAATCTGGTTCCTATTCAGTTTTAGAAGCTTAGAAGACCCAGATGTGTCAAGGAGCCCTGTTCATAAGGCCATGGATTGCCCGAATCTGGTTGCTGCCCTCTACATGCCCATAGACCTGCAGTAACCTTTTTGCTTATTCGCTCAATTTGCCCTTTCCAGATCAGGTGAAACTCTATGATGACTCCCAAATATTTCTCTGATCTGGTCAGATCCAGACGTCCTCGAAAAGTGAGCCCATCAAGTCCCGCTCTCCCTCTATTCGTAAATGGAACAACCTTGGTCTTTTCCGGCATAAAGATGAGGCCATGGTTCTTGCATCACCCATCCACCTGGTCAGGAGCCCTCTGCATGGGCTCCTTCACGGCATGTGGAAACTTTCCAGTAATGAGGATCGCAAGATCGTCCGCGTGTACACGCTCGGTCCTCGATCAGAGTGCGGAGGAGCCCATCTAGCATCAGGCACCACAGCAGTGGAAACAACACTTCATTCTGCGGACATCCTCTAGTGACCGAGGAGCTCATCTCCGTAGTTCCGTTTGTGGACATAATGACCTTGCTTCCGAGCATGGAGCGGATCCATCTTACGACGAACCCATCAATGCCACAGTCTTCAGCAGCTTCATTAATGGAATCGAAGGAGGTGTTATTAAGCACACCCTCGATATCCAGGGACGCTTCCAGGGATACTTCCCCAGCAGACATTCCGTTCTCCAGTCTGCACACAAAGCTGTGAAGAGCGGTCTCCGTGAACTTATTAGCCGTATAAGCAAGTTGGAATGGATGGACCAGTACCCTATTCCTGGTGTATGCATCCGCCAGCTTCTCCAACCGTTTTAGAAGAAACTTAAATGATCCTAATGGCCGTGTCATATTTGGCACGATCCGGCTTCGGTAGGTACACAACTCTCATCTTTCTCCAGCTTTCGGGGATATATCTTAAAGCCAGGGAGGCTCTAAAGAGGTGTAACCAATGCAAGAGCAGCGATTCCAGGCCCTTCTGCAGTAGAGCCTGGGGTATCCTGTCCGGTCCTGCACTTTTAAATGGGCTAAACGTGTTGACCGCCCATCTCGGATATCCCTCGGTTACCACCCGGGAAGATACGACAGCTTCGTCCACTTGTCCTTATTTCCGACAGAGCAAACGTTTTTGTGGCCCGAAAGCAACGGCTCATGAGACACCATACAACTCGTGATTACGTGGGCTATTGAAAAGCGGCCCAACGTCAGATCGATAACCTCTTTCTTCCGCGCTGAAGCACGAAAAGTACTCCAGGAAGTGGTCGTCTATCGAGTTCGTGCTGTCCCACGTAACATGGTGTGTGTTTGCATTACAGCCAACCACAAGAGGGAGACGACCATTTCGACATTACTTTATCATTTCAGCCAGCCCCCTGGTATGGTGCAGCGGAGAGAGCCGCGAAATCGTTCAAAAAAATTTTTCGGAGTAGATAGAATTGGGACTCACACCATTTTGTTCAGAAATGTTTGAACCTTCAGAATCTCGCTTTACGACATTTTCCCATGGTCCTGACAAAAGTTATAGGCCGCTAAAGTTGATCTTTACACATTTTCGCGCGCGCGACTAGACCACCGAAAGTATTTATTTTCTCAGCAACTAAGCGATATACATCAATAATTCCTTTTGTAAAATGAAAGTACATTTATAGCAGAATCTAAAGCATTCATATTTACCTATCTTGTTATGCACAGTTTTTAGAAAAATGACCGTCAACTTCCAAAATTCGTGTAGCAGATGAAAAGTGCGCACTTTGAACTCTCATAACTTTTTATTTCACGATATCGATTTCCAATATTATAGCTCATTCGATGCTCCAAAGCATTGTGATTATTTTATTTTCTATAACATTACCGTGAATTTTTCATAATAAAAAAGTTACGGTCATTTAAGTAAAAACCTACCAACCTCGCCGAGTCTGGAGTCGCGAGTGAGACGGAGAGGGAAGGATAGTCAGCAGCGTTCGCGCAACAAGGAGCGATGCGTAAGAGGTTCTACTTTACTAAGAAATTTCTCTCCGAATACCAAAACTAGCTATTTAGGCCGTTTACAAATGCATTCCGCCGGGTTGCATTGTAAAATCTCAAACAATTCATTAACTCCATGTATCTCAGTTCTTTGGTGAAATATATAGGTACAAATAGGTACCTTTCCCTGTAAATTTTGGGGGTTACTCCACATTAGGTATCTCTTGTGCTGTGCTGTATATTGCAAGATCAGCAGTGACAACGGTATGATTTTGTCCCAAAGATTCAGGCTTGTTTTTTGATTTCACTAGACGATGGTTAGGATGGTATTGTAGCTCGTTGGTGGAGAATTCAAAAACGGCATAGATATATTGAATGGTAGATACCGGAACTTACTTAGGATTATCAGCATGTACTTAGGCTGTTAAAGTCCGTTATCTGGTCGTTATCTAGTGATAGGTAAACGAGGAATTTGGATTTCTTCTGCCGATGTATCTCGCCCCTTAGCAGAACATGTAATATTGACGTTTACTATACTTGTTATGCCACTGTCGGAGAACATTTTCTGACCCGAAAGACCAATTTGCAAATGAGTGTAACTTTTGTTTGAAAAATGACCTTAAGAAAAACTGTTCAACAATTTTGTTCCGTATGTACCTACACAACAAGCGGCCTGTAACTTTTGTCAGGACCACGGGAAAATGTCGTAAAGCGAGATTCTGAAGGTTCAAACATTTCTGAACAAAATGGTGTGGGTCCCAATTCTTTCTACTCCGAAAAAAAAAACTACCTTAAATAAGCGAGTTAGCGCAGCCTCTCCGCTGCACTAGTAGTCGTACGGGAGGTAGGTGCCTGCTCCGTCCTTTGCCATCTTTCAGCTGGAGTCTTAGAGCTACGAGATCTCTGAAATAGAAATCATTAGATAAGACCCGATTCGTCTATCGACATAAATGCAAGTCCTAGGGTTCAGTTGGCAGTTTCTCTTATAATAAAAAGACACCTCCACCTGACCCAGACCTCTTACGCGTCCCCTGTAAACCCAGGGTTCTTGTATAAAGCATACGCGTGTCTGCTTTACAGCAAGTTGAACGCCTATTAAACAAGCCGCCCTTTTACTGTGCTGCAAATCCATCACGGATGCACTAGGTAACCAAAGCTTCTTGGTTTTGTAAGTGTTAATCTGCGACAATTGCGACATGTCAATTATATCCGTAGCTGTCCTTCCAACCCTCCCCTAGTGATGTCGGAGCCAAGAACCGCCCCGCGAGTTGAAAGCTCGTTGAAATCTTTCTCGAACTCAGGTCATCGTCAGTAGTAGCAATGGAACTGGGTTCCTCTGCCTCATTGGATCCCCCTCCCTTACCTGGCGCAGCCGTAGCATCCAGTTTTGTCACAAATGTGACGTGTAAGACCCTGCGGAAGAACGTCCTCCATAGGCTCGTCCAGGATTTTGCCTCAGTTGGGCAATTTTAATGTCATCTTTTAACATATAAAATACGGACGCGAACTCTACAATATACCCTACATTGTATAAACACCCTGTACTAACCTTGATCTTAAGCCAATTAACAAAAACTATCCTAAGTACGATCCTTACCTAGCGCTTAACTCATTTACAACTATTGCGCAATATCGATTAGGCCCCGCAAATTCAAATTTATGAAATTAAGCACATATAAATCAACAGCAAATAATACAAAGGCGAGTTATTTAATAGTACCATTACAAAGAAAAATAAAGGGAAAATTTATCTACCTTCGGATAGCAACAATATACATTTTTTTCGAGATACTTTGTGAGATTTATCCATTCCAATATTTTCTTTGTGATTATCCCTTGTTCTCTGGTTCCCGCCGCAGGTTCAATCGCCGTTCGGATCCCCGTCTTCGCCTTCGTCTCTTGCTTCATCTTCGTCCTTGTTACTGAAAGCGCTCCTTTTGGTTGTCGTAGGTGAGCCTTGGGTAAGATTTTTGCTGTGACATTTCCGTTCTCTCTTTTTACCCCATCAGGAACTGTTTTGATCATTTGTTTCTGTTGCCTGTTGTTTGTTTGTAAGTTTTTAAATTGT